AATCCTTTCTACATTAAGTATCAACTTAATTGTTTGCTGTTCTATCTGGAAGCCCATGCGCATTCTTGATTTTCCTCCATGTATTCGCCTATAGATTATATTGTTTACAATTTTTTTTTCTTTTCTGTGACCATTATCCTCAATTGCAGCCATTATCCTCATTTTGCAGCTTTAGCTGGGCATTCCTGGTACTACAGTTGCTAAAATAAGTGGCAATGAAACTGGAAAGTAGACTAGAAGGCAGATACGTTTAAGAAAACAAAGTTGTGTAGATAACATGAGATGCACCATTTTGCTCAGCTGATGTAAGGCAAAATAATAGAAACAGTGTTCCACTATGAATGGTGACCAGCACATGATCCAGTAATGTCAGACTGATAAACAAATTGACCATTTGTCCTATATACAGTAAGACAAAACAGAAGCTTGACTTAAACCTGGAAAAAAATGAATTTGCCAGAACTATGATGAGGAGGTAAGATTCCAAGCAGACATACCACACATGGGTTCACGGGGTAGAATATGTGTGAAAAACAAGTTCCAGAAAATGCTCACTGCCATTTAGTCAAGTTTTGTTACAAGCTTTAGGCTCATTCAGTGTGCTTGCCTGACAGCTGTGCTTGAACATCTGAATCCTTGCTGATCACTGTGAGCTTTGGGAGAGAGAGTGCAAGTAAGAGTTCTTCTTCTACCTGTGCTGGGGCCCATCCTTGGCTTCTAGACTAGAGAGAACAGATTTCCTATGATGAATTCAATGGGATTATGCACTGAGGTCCTCTGAAATTTTACCCAGACATGAGCATTAAAATCTAAATCAGGAAATATTTCAATCTATATTCAAATGTTTAAAACTAATCATAGAGAGGAAGGAAAGAGGACTTTTCTTTCTTTCTTTCTTTCTTTTTTTTTTTGAGATAGAGCCTCAAGCTGTCAACCTCTGGGTGGAGTGCTGTGGCATCACAGCTCACAGCAACCTCTAACTCCTGGGCTCAAGCGAGTCTCCTGCCTCCACCTCCCAAGTAGCTGGGACCACAGGCGCCTGCCACAATGCCAGGCTATTTTTTGGTTGCAGCCATCATTGTTGTTTGGTGGGTCTGGGCTGGATTTGAACCCGCCATCTTAGGTGTATGTGGCTGGCACCTTAGCCACTTGAGCCACAGGCGCCGAGCCAATTTTTCTTTTTCTTTCTACACAAAGACAACTTGAGTCTATTTCTACCACATCAAACCAAGTAGAATGCGAGAACAAACAACTCATGAGCACTTTAAAATAAAGTTAAAAATAAAATGGCAAAACTAATATGTTCTAACTTGGATAATTCAGGGTTATACATAATTCATATGATTTTTTGGAATATTTTATTTTTTGAGAAAGTGTCTCATTCTGTTGCCCAGGCTGAAATGCCATGGCATCAGTCTAACTTACAGCAACCTTAAATCCCTGGGTTCAAGTGATCTTCCTCCCTCAGCCTCACAAGTATTTGAATTACAGAAGCCCACTACGATATGACATCCAGGTTTTTTTGTTTTGTTTTGTTTTGTTTTAGTGATATGGGATCTCTCTTTGTCACCCAGGCTGGAGTAGGGAGGTACATCCTCCAATTACTAAGCTCAATTGATCCTCCTGCCTTAGCCTCCCAAGTAGCTGGGACTATAGGCCCTGATTGCCACCATGCTTGGCTAATTTTTCTTTTCTTCTTCTTCTTCTTTTTTTTTTTTTCAGTAGAGACAGGGTCTTGTTCATGTTGCCCAGGCTGTTATGTGATGTTCCAATTCTAAAGTTGATGACTATTTATCCCAGGGTCCAGAGTCCTTCAGAATGACTCAGGGAAAAATCTCTTACACAAGAAAGTAAAATTTACACACACCCTGACCATAATTGACTTAGATTTTCTATACTTAAATTGTCAAAATGTAGATGATACAAATTTGTTTTTATTTTCTTTTATCTTATACAGAAAATAGTAAAACTTACTTCAATGAATGATGAGGATAACATAATGAATACTTTGTATTCACATGAGCCAGGCTCCTTTTCTGATTCTTCTCAGTGATAGATTCGTCCAGGCCCCCACTCATTAGCCTGGCTGCTAAGAGGTAGTTTACTCTCTCACAATACAGTTTAAATAGGTATAAATGGTCAAACCCAAAATCTAAAGGATAGCTCCTCTGAGTTATTAAGTAAGAAGGGACTTAAAGTCCAAGCGCTGAGCAGGAACTGAAACCATGAGAGCCATGGGAGTGCAGAACCAGGTTTAATTTTCCACAGCTGATGCTAATGCTCACATAAAGAAAAGAGTCTGGGTTACAAACCCAGGGAGCTAAAAATGAACTATTAGGGAAAGCTGAGAGTCTGAAGGTATTGACTCATCTCTGTGACAACTATGTATATGATTAGAAAGCAATGAGAATGTTTTCAACTTTCTGGGTATTGGCAAGAATCAGCATCCAGAAATTAAGAGAGTTTAGACTTCTATGTCCACATAGGTGTGCCAAACTTATGTAGCTTGATTTTTAAAGTGGTTATAGAATGGCCTATACAGTGTGATTGCATGTGTGCAAATTTAGAAATAATATAAAGCATTATTTTATAGTTTGTGAACACATAGATAGGTAGTTGGGGCCAAGGAAAAGGTTCCTTTTGGCTCTCCAAAAGTCTGCTAAAAAAATCATTGACAAGATGTAGAGTAACAGGAAAAAAGAAATACAAATTTATTTAAAATTAATACATGGAAACCTTCAGAATGACAACCCAATGATATAAGATAAATTGTCCATTTTTATGCTTGGTTCAAGAAATTATAGATCGCCATGTACAAATATGATTGGACAGAAAGGGTATGATCAAATGTTAATAGACTGAGTGGGGAAACCCAGCAAGGCCTATCTGTCTAGCTTCTTGGCCTCTCTGAGCATGCATTCTTCCTTTAGGTATGGGGCAGGACCTTCTCTGGAGCAGGGGTATTATGACCTATAGTCATAAGTCATAGTTTCTTAATGGCCAGTTTTTACACCAAATATTTTTAGGTTTGATGACTGGCTTTTAGGATAAGGAGTGTTGGTTTCTATGACCTACTTTGGGAAGAGGGATTCTGGCTTCTATAGTTAGTTCATGAAACCATAGAAACCAGAATGGGACTGAGAGGTAGGAAAACAGGACAAGGTCAAAGAAAAACTTTTGCTTCTTGAGGCTGCATCTGAGGCCTTCATTTTTGGGGTACTATTTTCTGAGCCCCAACATTAGTAAAAACACAAAAATATAGAAATTAATATTATATTTATGTGAAGCTTTTTTTGTTTGGTTTAGAAATGAAAGGAGAAAGGGATCAAGGGAAAAGGAAAGCAATGAAGTGATTTTTTTTTTTTTT